TCTCGTGAGCTCCCAGCACATGTAGAAACAACTGCAGAGGAAAAGTCTGCCAAAATCCTCATTTTGGGTGGGGGCAGGACCCCCTTGTGCCCCTCCAAGTCACAGCAGCAGCTCATTTCTAGCACTTAACGTCTCAGTAAGTGCACATTACATGTGTACTCTGCATGAACTGCATTTTGAAGTAAATGAAGTTACAAGCCCTGTTCCTTAAATCCATCTGACTCCCAGCAGAGCATATGTAATGTCTCATAACAGACTGCAGACAGGATAATATTTCTGCCGTTTGAATTACCAACAAATCTAATTCATGAGTTTTAGCCCGTGTTTAAAGGAGTGCTTGGCCAAGTGGTTTTGTTTTCTTGTTAAATATTATGCACAGAGTTCCTTGAAAAGTTACCAAGGTCATGTTAATAAAAGCTTACCCTGTAGCAGATTTATTTCAAATGTATGATATGGGGAGGGAAGACATTTTCAAGCAGTTTGAGAAGGAAAAAAAACCAAACCAAAACCCTACGACAAACCTGTTAGGATGCAGACTATCACGAGACATTTGCAATTAATGCAGTTCCAGAAGGTGTGGTTTTAATAGAGGGTTTTCCTGTCGCCTGCAGGAGTTCACAGCTGTGGGTTTGGAGCAGCACAACCAAACTTTGTGCATTTCTGTGATTCAGCATCTGTGGTACGAGCTATCTCATCCATGTCAGGGTTTGAGGAGATCAGCTGGGCAATCTGATATTTCTGAGTGTCTACTGAAGTGTCACTATAAACCTTGGCTGTGAGGTGGGACTACAACCAGGGCTGGATTTTTGCTGCTTGTTCCATCTCTACTGATGGGCTGAGAAGCTGAAAACACAATTTTTTGGGGGTGGGGAGTATAATGGGGATACATTTGGCCTGCATATATTTGAATTTTTCAAGTGAAATGGAAAAAATAAAAATCAAAATTTGTTTTAGCTTAAACAGCAGTTTAATTAGTATTTAATTTAACCCACTCTCACCCCAAAAAAAGCAACCAGACAGAAAAGCATTTAAGAGTGAAACATTCATGTGCGCTGTTGGGAAAAAAAAAAAAAAAAAATTGAAATGAAAATGTGAATTTTTCTTTCTTTTACTTGGTTAAAATCCTTTGTAAGCAGTTGATCATGATCTTAAGTCTTGAGGTGTAGGTTAGGGGTTTTAATGTAGGTTTCTGCCCACACTAAAATAGTTGCAAAATAGTAAATATAGTAATATTTATTTGTATATGTATATTCACATTCATATGTATATTTATATTTGTATTTGCATCTATATATTAATATTTATTAGATACATATAGTTATATTTACATTAATATCTATATCTATATATTTGTATATTTATATTTATATTTATATTTATATTTATATTTATATATATTTAGATTTAGATTTAGATTTAGATTTAGATTTAAGTATATACTTATATATTTATATATCCCTTATATAATATTTATATTATATTTACATTTACATTTATTTTTATTTTAATTTTAATTTATAGTAATGATGATGTAACTTATTTATTTATTTATTTAATAAATTCATTTAATGATATAAAAATTATTTAATTTATTTATTTAACTGTTTTTTTAATTAATAAGTAGTAAAATAGTCCAGGGGCAGGCTTGGGTCTGTATCTAGCACAGAACTGAAGGCAGAGAGAGAAGCCAGTCCATAGGGAGCTCTTTGTAGCACAGAAATTATGGAGGCAGCATTACTTGTTTGAGCCAGCTAAGACAGCTGGACATAAGTGGTTTTATAACCCTCCTGCACCCACTGGTTGGAGGGAGAAAGGCCTGGAATCTTTGGGCTGCGGTGATGCTCAGAACCAGGGGTGCCAAGTGCATTTGGAATAATTCTGAATCCTGCTGGATATTGAATTTGTTGACTGCAGTCTGTGGCGTTCGTGAGATGTCACCCTGAGAATTAAACCTTCTGATCTTGTTTTCGTAGTTTCTAGCCACTTTCCCAGGAAAGTAACTATAAACACAGATGTTTATACGTTCTTTTAAAGAAATGTCTTTTGATGGACATTTCTCACGACCAGTGTGGTTGGGAAGGTGGTAACCTGACTACCCAATCCCAGGTCATTGTCAAAAATCTATAAATACTGCAGTCATGGAAATAAAAATCATTCTTTTTCCCCTATCATACACTGTGTGTTGAATAATTTCGTGTCCTACACCGACAGTGGGGTTTTAATTTGCAGTGTGATTCCCGTGGGTGCGTTCCTCACCTGCAGCCTTGGCACCACGGCTGGAGGGTGTTGGCAGAACACCCCTGCTGCTGCAGCCATTGAATCTCTGGTAATCTCTGCCCTCACTCGGGACTTCAGCCCTTTAAAAGGCTTATTAGAAACCTCTGAATGACAATTCTGCCCCACAAACCGCAGTAGCACAGCTCAAGCATCACACTGTGCTTTGAAACTTTATCCCTTCCTGGGGAAGCTGTCACACGAAAGAAACATATTTTTATATATTTATTATTTATATATTATATGTATTAATTATAATGATATAATTATATATAATATATTATATAGGAATATTATATTATATAAAAATATAAATATATATATATAAATATATATATAAAAATATATATATAAAATCATATATTTATATATAATCCGCCTCAAGGCCTTATTCTGTATAGCTGAGGGGGTGAGGAAGCAGAGGATGTAGCAAGATTTTATCCTTAATTTGTTTTTTGAATATCTTTAAAAATAAATCCATTGTTTTGACGATATTGGAGAGTAACAAAGAGTTACAAGGTTGTGCTTTATTGTGTTTTTTGGGCTCTTCCTCAGTGTTGCAGCCTATATGCCTTCTCACAGACTTTCATCCAAGGATCTGCCTAGGCACAATTAGTCAAGTACTCATTTTGGGTGTACATTATGAGGCAATTAAATCAGAGCTGCACTCCTCAGAGGGGAGATCTGGGGCATTAATTACCGAGATGTCATGAGAAGCCGTGGTGAATTAACTCAGCTGGCTTCAGCTTGGACACCCAGCCAAGGCTGCAAACCCTGCGTGCTCGGGGGGAAAGGCAGCCGGGAGCAAGGAGAAGAAACTCCTCTCAAACCTTCTGAGAGACCTGGGAGCTCCTTGTGAGCAAACAAAGCAGCTGCTGCTAATCCTTCAAAAGGAAAATGAAGGAAATGCTGATTTATTAATTAAATTAATAAATCCCATTGGCACCCATTAGTTTTAATTTTCGTGTTGTTGGCCGTGGTGAGGAAAGGCTGGGAGAGCTGGGAATGTGCAGCCTGGGGAGGAGAAGGCTCTGGGGAAACCTCAGAGCCCCTTCCAGGGTCTAAAGGGGGCTCCAAGAGAGCTGGAGAGGGACTGGGGACAAGGGCTGGAGGGCCAGGAGCCAGGGAATGGCTGCCAGTGGCAGAGGGCAGGGCTGGATGGGATCTTGGGCAGCAATTGTTCCCTGGCAGGGTGGGCAGGCCCTGGCACAGGGTGCCCAGAGCAGCTGGGGCTGCCCCTGGATCCCTGGCAGTGCCCAAGGCCAGGCTGGACATTGGGGCTGGCAGCTCCTGGGACACTGCGAGCTGGCCCTGCCCTGCCTGGGGTGGGAATGGGATAGACTTTAAGGTCCCTCCCAGCTCAAACCATTTCATGACTCTGAACCTGTGATTCTCTGCTCTAGCAAACTATTTAAAAGTAAAAATATTCAAAATCTGCATTTCAACAAGTTCTTAGTGTGTCAGGCTGCTTGCTTTTATGTTACACAGACTTTCTTGTGGTTAATAACAGAAAAAGCTTTCTAAATTAATCAAAGTGTGAGTTTTGAGTAGCAAAACCTTGAAAAATCCAGCTGCTGCACCGTGCCCCGTAAGGCACAGTTTAAAGAATTTAGCCTGAGTTCTTCATGAGTGCCAGGTCGTGGAAAACCAGTGAGAAGGTGGCTGTGAAACATGGTTGATTTCATGCTTTCCAAGACAGTCAGCTGTTTTGTTTTGTTTTTCTGAGTGTTGTGGGTCTGGCTTACAACTTTGACAGCCTTCCTGCTTTCTGTGTGACGAGGGGTCAGGCATGATGCTGCAAGAAGGCATTCCTGTAGGATGAGGAGGAGTGTAACTTTTCTCTAAAAAGTCCGATTTCTGTTTCTTTGTTTCTGCTACATCTCTTCTGTATTTTTCTTTTTATTCTTTGATTTCTCAGCCCCCTTTGGACTGAATTCTTTTGGGATCCTCCCTCATGGGGAGCCCTGCTTATCTCAGTTCTTATGATTTGAAGAAAACTCTTGAGCTCGTTAGAATCTTGTTTCTCGTGTTTATTAACAGGTCAACACAAAACTTAACAGGTCTCTCCAGGCTGGCTGCACAAGGTTAATCTTTGCAATTTGGCACATTTCTTTCTTCTGATGGTACAAACAAGGCCTTGTGGCACACTTCGTGTCTGATGCACAAAATGGCACTGAAATACACAGTTCTTTTATCTTCATACCTATTTTTACCCAATTAACAATAGACATGTATATTATTTTTCTTAATGACCTAATGACCCATCACCTCTGTGCTGCACTGTGGCATTTCCTGTCCAATCACTTACTACCACCCAAAAACCTCTAGGAGAAGAAAATGAAGAAGAAAGAAGAAGGACAAGAGACAACACCCTAAATCCTCCACCTTGTCTCCTGTTCTCTAAACTACTTTATCACCCAGTGATTTAAAAAACTTTCTAATCTACACACTTACACTTTTCCTATCTAACTTTAGCATTTGTTCTCATGTATCACCATGGAAACATGCTCATGAATTTCATGTCATATGAAATTCAGTGTTTTTCTGGATCTTATAACTAAGTATCAGAAACAAGGCACACACTCTGTATCTCAGACTCCAACAAGGAGGAGGAGGATGAAGAGGATGGAGGACCTGGAGGACCACGACCAGCAGTATTTTGGGTGGAGGTGAGAAGTGTGAGAGTGGCACAGCTGGTGTCACGAGCACAGGAAAATCTGCAATTGGTGTCTGGGAAGCAGAGAAGGCCACGTCAGTGTGGGCACAGCACTCCTTAAATGCCTCTGGAGGGTTTTGAGGGTTTTTTGCCCATCTGCCTTGGAAATTCAGCGTTTGCCTGACAGCACTGTAGACATTCCCAGGGATGATGCAGTCCTAAACAAGGTGTAGGCAGGGAGGATTAAATCTTCAGCTGTTCTGAAACTGGGGGTGGCAGGTGAAGGGCCTGCAGAGTGTGGAACGACAGCAGAGCTCAGGTTATGAACTTCTGATGGGAAGGTGCAGGAATTACCCAGGGTGATGCTGGAAATCAGGCTGAGAAGGAGGAGGAGATGGGGAGCAAAAGACCAGAGCTTGTTTTTGAGAAGTTTAAGTTGGGCAGTGTGTGCTGGGAGAGCCACAACAGCGTGGCATGAAGTGGGCCAAGGATCCTTGTCAAGGATGGGCCTGTGGAGCCGCTCAGAACAGACATCGTGGAGCTGTTCTCAGAGGGGTCTGGGGAACCACAATGCTGACACTCAAGAAACCTGCTGGATTTCCCTTTTTCACTTTTTCTGTGCATTGTGTGTGTCCAGAAATTCCACTGGCCACAGCGCCCTCCGTGCCAGGGCCCCAGCAGGCCGCGTGGTCTCACCAAATCGTTCTTAGCAGAGAAATACTGCAAGAATCAGAGAATTCCAGACTGATTTGGGTTGGGAGGGACCTTTAGGTCTGTCTCATTCTGCCCCCAGTCGTGGGCAGGGACACCTTCCACCATTCCAGGCTGCTCCAAGCCCCATCCAGCCTGGCCTTGGGCACTGCCAGGGATCCAGGGCCAGCCCCAGCTGCTCTGGGCACCCTGTGCCAGGGCCTCACTAACCTCTGAGTGAAGAATTTAATCCTACCATCCAGCCTGAATCTCTTCTCTTTAACTGCCTTTCTCCGTGTCCTGTCAGTATCTGTTCATGGGAAGGAAACTGAGTGTGGCCCAAACTTCAGCCTGAACCTGCCACAGGAAAACTAGAATCTGGCAAACTCATAGCTCAGATTCCTCTTCTAATAGGTTTGGAGCAAAAAGCAAAGAAACTTGAAAGCCCACAAATATTTGTGTTTAGCAATTCAGTGGTTTTATCTCTGCATGAGACCAGGCCAGGGTAGAGAATGCTTTGGAAACACAGATTAAAACAGCTCCTTAAATATCAGTTCCCAAGACCCTCCCTGAAGTTTCTTATGGCAATTTAATTAAATTAAGAGAGTGAGTTTGACTAACACCTCTGAAACTCAGGGCCTGAAATACCTCTAACTTCACTCCACTTATGCAATGTGCTTGAGTGAAAATACTGAGAAATGTTTTAGTGTGGGTCCCATCTCAGCATGCCAGACTGCTTAAAATGTGTCTTCTACTACTACTACTACTACTACTATTATTACTATTATTACTATTACATTATTATTATCGTGATTATTATATTATATTATTATATTATATTATATTATATTATATTATATTATATTATATTATATTATATTATATTATATTATATTATATTATATTATATTATATTATATTATATTATATTATATTATATTATATTATATTATATTATATTATATTATATTATATTATATTGTATTATATTATATTATTAATATTATTTATTTCTGAATTCTCCATCTAGGAAAGCCAGTTGGAAGCAAAACATACTTGTGTAAACCAGTCCAAAAAGCCCTGCCTGTGAGCAAGCTGTCTTCAGACTAAGCCTGAAGCTAGCCTGCAGTCTGACAAGCCTTTGGATTAATTGCACCCTCTCCTTGCTAGCAAATGGGAGGATTTTAAACATCCTTTAAAGCTTTCTGAAGTTCTGGTTCTGCTGCAGAATACTGTGATTTTCGTGATGTAATTAGCGGTTGTTCAGGTTTGGGATAATTGGCATCAGCCAGGGCTGGCTGCTCCCAGTTTGCTGAAGGTAAATGAATTTTAGGTGCTGTTTGCAACACCCAGTTTATCTGTGGTGAGCTCTGCTGTGGGGTTAGGGCTCTCAGCAGCTTCCACGTGCCCCACGGTGGCAGAAGGATGTGGAGGGGACACACAGGGACGTGCTGAGACAGCCAGTCTGGTTTTGATACCACAAAAGAAACTGAGTTTGTCCTAGCCTTCCTTGCAGCTGGAACCCAGGGCAGGTACCTTGGTCACTGTGACATCTCCAGGGATGTTTCTGGGGGTGATTTTACCATGTGGTTCATCTCTCCTTGTAGTTTCCAGTCAGTCTTTCCTCCAAAGTATCAAGCAATAGATGAAGTTTCCTCTTATCAAGGACAGGAGGGAAGGGCCTTTCCCACCAGGGGAGGTTGAGACTGGATGTTTTCTTCACTGAAAGGGCTGACAAACACTGGAATGGGCTGGCCAGGGCAGTGGTGGGGTCACCAGCCCTGGAAGTGGTCAAAAGGCTCGTGGATGTGACACCTGGGTGCGTGGGTTTGTGGTGGCACTGGGGGAATGGTTGGAACCGATGGCCTCAGAGGACTTTTCCACCCTCAATAATCCTGTGGTTCCCATCTGACCCTCCTGGCATGGCAGGGCTGAGCTGCAGTGGCTGGGAGCTGGGGGAAGAGAGGCAGACACACCTCCAGAGGGGATTTTTCACTCCTGTCCTGGATGAATCAGCCCTCAGAAGGGGATGTCTCTTCCCCCTGACCTCAGAGGAAGAAGAGGCTGCTGGTGTGGGCAAGGCTGTGGGTTTCCAGTGAATGGAATTGGGTGGGATGAGGCTTGCCTGCAGGAGATGGGTGTGGAGGTGCAGCTTAGCATGACACGTGCTGTGGCAGTGGTGTCACTGTCCTGGGAGCCAGGAGGCCACCAGGTTTCCCTTCACACTTAACAATGCCCAAAGCAGCTGCTGTTTTTGGGGTGCAATTCCTCCTGCAGCTCACACTTGTTCTCCCACAGCATGCACAAGAGTCTCTGTGTCTGTTCCTCTGCGACCTGGGCAGAGATTTCACCGGAGCAAAAGGTGCTTCCAGGCTTTGTCCAAATTCAGCAGGCATTTTTTTGGGTTTTTCCTAAATTCAGCAGGCATCCTCCTCCCCCTGGAGCCAGCACCAGCACAGTCAGGTGCACTGGACCTCAGGTACCAGATACACCAAAGTGGAGACTGCAATCAATAATTCACCTTGTCTGCCACGCCTGTGGCCTGGGAAAGCTTCAAGAAACTCCTACTTCCATTTTTCTGATTTTCCTCAATTAGAGAACCCTTGAACACCTCAAGGAGAGAGGTCTTCCCATCCCATGTGATGCTTTCTCATGTTTCTGTGGGAAAATTTCATAAATTTGAAGTTGAAATTTGAAATGAATCAGAGTTTCTGGGTGTAAAATATCCAACACCTCTTGCCAGATGTATTAGGGGTGTTTTAAAATCGAACTGTCTTGTTCTGAGCATTGGTTGTTCTGTGAAAGTCACTGATCTAAAAGTCAGAGAAACTGTGCATTTGGTGATTATCCTGATGTAAGAAGGAGTTTCTTGATGTTGTCCCATAAATAGTACTTTAAAACAGTATAGTGAAACATATGAAACAGCGAAACATAAAAAGTGGAGACATGAGAAAAAATGCAAGTCTCACAAATTCGTACTCCTGGGTGGAAATCAGCAGTGGGAATGTACATGAAAGCTGATTCTGCCACCCAGACATCCCCATGAGCTGGCACTGGGAGCCAGTGGCACAGGCTCAGCCTTGACTAAGCTTGTTTAAAGGATCTGGCTTACAAAGGGGAAAAAAAAAATAAATAAAAAATTTTTTTAAAAAAAAGGGGTCTAATAAAAGCACCCAAGGATTTCGAAACCCAGCACAAAATTGCTGATGCAAAGGAAAATGTGAAATAATTCCGGTGTGGGTCTGTAAAGTCACACGCTCAAAGGACCTGAGCAACTGCAAATGCAGTTCACACATCCAGCCTGAGGAATAATTAACAATATTAAGTGAAAAAATGGAAGCTGAGCACACATAAAAAGAGGGGGAACAGGCATGAAATGTCCTACTGCTTCCAATAAAACCTCTCTCATGAGCAGCCAAAATATGTCCCTTCACAATTCTTTTTTGGCACAAAAGGCAATCTTTGGTGCTCTGAATGGTCAGTTGGCTGCACAGGGGATGAAAAGAAGAGACACACAGAAATTTGGACTCACAACATCTATTTCTCACCTCTGTCAGTTTTACTGGATTTTTAAAATATTTGTCATATTGAAACTAGTAGGATTTTTTTTTTTTTTCTTTTTAAATGAGTGAAAAGCTCCTTATTTGAGCCACAGAGCCTAAAGAACCAGGAGCCAGGAATCAAATCCAGCGTGAATACACTAGTTCTAAATTCTTAACATAAATGATAAAATTTTGTGTAAAAAAGCATTTAAACTTTTCTTTTTTCCTAATTGAGATCTACCCTTCTGCCTCTAAACATTTATGTTTATGATGAATAACAAGTTTTGGCTGTACTTAGTGGACTTTATTAATATTGTCATACTGGCATGGATTTCTGTTCCACTAAAGGTGCCAGGACTTAGGAAATGCTTTCTAAGAACACAGAGTTTTATCCAAACACAACTGATTTCAAAATTAATTGCTTTGCTTTGCAAAAATAAAAACCCCAAAATTAAAAAAAAAAAATCAAAATTGGTGCTAACATCTTGTTTAATTTTGTGGGTTGGAATACATTAGTATTAATTTTATGCTGATACCTATTTGTTGCTTGTATCTGGTCATAGCAAAATGCACATCAAAGGGATAGTCTCATTGCATTTTTATTATGGAATTCTAAAATATTTTAAAATGTATTATATTTATTATTTTTGTTTATTGTTTAAAAACTAATTTATTGTTTTCAGTCGCACAACTGAAGTGGCCAAGAAGCAAGAACACTTCTGAGAATGAAAAGATGATTCCCTCCCTCCAGAATCTCACATCAAGTGAAAAATAAGCCTGTATAATTTGGCAGGAATCACTGTAATCACAGAGTTTCAGCAACTGAGTTTGTATCAAGTGACTTTTATGCCACTTCCTGAGGAGAAGAGAGTGCCTGTGACATATCAGCAATTTACCTGACACCCTTGAGACTTATGAGCATTCCTAATTCTCCCAGAAAGCTCAGAACAAGTCATTTTGAATTTTGACGCTTAAAATAATTCCTAGGGTTGAGTGAAATTCATGCCTTCACCAAAAAAATAAAAATTAAAAAAAAAAAAAATAAAAAAATTGTAAGATGAATTTGGGGCTCTTTACAATGCTGAAAAAAAATAATTAAAAAATTAAAAAATAAATTAAAAAAGGGGTCTAATAAAAGCACCCAAGGATTTTGAAATTCCTCTGATAATCACCTGATTTCCAAACTATTCTTGTGAACTCTAGTTCAGTTCCATCTGGAGAGGAAACCAAGTTACTGCCTGCATAGAAGACTCACTTGTGCCTGTGCACACACACAGACAATTTCCCTCTGGCTTTTAGTCTCATATTTTGACTTAAAGGAAAAAAAACACACAACAAATAAATAAAAAACGTAAATAAATGTAAATAAAAAAAGACATCTCCAGTCTTTTCTGTCCTCTCTGACCAGAGGCTCCACCGAAGAGCAAGCCTGACCGGAATGACAAAACCCCTGCAGATGGAAAAAGACAGAGCCCCTTTTTCCCTGCTCCAAAGAAATGGTGACAATATGCCATCAATTGATCATTTTTAGCCTATAAATGCCTTCCTGTGGCTCGAAACACTGACATTCCCAGTACCCACAGAGAAGATCAGCTTTAGCCAGCTCAGTGCAGGTTTGGGCTGGGATGCCCATGATGCCAGGGGATGTAAAACTCTGCTCCTCGGGACAAGGAGCAGCCCAAACCCCTGATGGGAGGTCTGGAGTGCTTCCCCCAGCCCACAAAAATAGCTGAACAACACAGGAAACTCATGGACCAGCAAGTCAATTCCCCTTTCCTTTTTTTCCTTTTTTTTTTTTCTTCTTCTTCTTCTTTTTTTTTTTTTTTTTTTTTTTTTAATATATTTTTGCTGTTGTTTTTTGGTTTTTTATTTATTTGGGGTTGGCGCTTTTATTTTTGTTTTTATGGTTGTTTGGTTGGGGTTTTTTTGGGTTTTTTTTTTGGTTTTTTTTTGGTTTTTTTTTCAAGAATCTACCATATTTCAAGCCTTTCTCCCCTTTGGTGCCACTAAGATTCCAGGAAAGCAGGTGGGAGACCTGTAACACTTTTCTGCTGAAGGAATAAGTGGCACCCCTTTGAGAAAAGATCAAGGCTACCCTGTGCAGTTCTCTCTCCTCAGCTGGGCAAAAAAAAAAGTCGCAAAAACAGAAAAGTTACAAAAAAAAATGTCAAGCAATAAGAACTGCTCTTGGGTAGGAAAATGCAATTAAACTATCAGCTTTATGGCAGAGCTTACATGAGCATGTGTGCAACTGGTGCATCCTTTTTCTCTCTTAAATGCCTGAACTGTGTGTGAAATTGCCTTTTGTTTCTTTTATAGCAATACAAGCTGTGGGTCTTTGAGGTTGAGCCCTGTTGGGGTAAGCAGAAAAAAAAAGGTTTTTTTGGGTTGTTGATGCTTTAAAGCTTTGAAACTCCTCTCCCAGAAACAGCTTGGGCGAGGTGAGGCCCCGTGGGCTCAAAAAGCTCCTCTGTTTTTCTGGGATGGGAGGAAATCCTGTGGCTGGAGATGAGACCTGTTCCAGGCTGGGTAAAAAACATTATTTGTGTGCTTGTGTGGAGGTGAGTGCTCTTTCAGAATGGTTCTAGGAATCAAAACCAGGGAATTAAATCTGCACGTGCTTGACCAAAAGCACCTCAAACCAGACTTATCTCTTGTCCCTTCAGCAGCCACGTTTGCTCCCTCTGCCTTCTCTTATGAAGCTGATGTTCCCTCAGGCAAAGAACAGAAATCTGCACCCTTCTCAAATGTGATTACAAATTAGGTGAATGCCATGAATAAGCCAAGAGTTCAGGCTGATCTAAGCCCTTATTTTAACCAAGCTATCTAAACTGGTCAATTAAATGACTATAAAGCAACTTAAGGCCTAGTTTCCTATGGTTCTTCTAACTCTCTTGGGTGAATACATTTAGGAATAATTTATGAAAATGCAGTGCACTGGAAAATATATTCACCCAGTTTTTTTCTCAGCTGCGCTGTTTTGCAGTCTGCAGCAAATTGGCATTACTCTCCCCTGGTTCTGCAGAATGCTCAGAGTTCAAATGGCTCTCAAATCCACTGAGACGGTTGAATTATTGCAAAAGTCTGTCTAGGGCTGTAGACATGTGTTCTTTTGACTCCCCCCTCCATCCTACTGAAAAATAAACTACTGTTCTTCATGGCTTATTTTGTCTCTGTCAAGGAAAGTTTCTGCTCTCATCTCAGGAGGATTGTACAATAGCAATCTGATCCTGACCTTTCTACCTCTTCCTTGAATAACAGATGAAAATTGGACAGTGAGAAGTGCTGTAGGCTCCAGGACTTGTATCCCAGGCACAATCTAATGACACTCTCCTCCTAGTAAAAACAACAGTTGCAGCAAAGGTTAAGGTAAACAGGTTTAGCTAATTACCTCTTAATCAAATCCAGTTATAATTTACTGCTGTCCTCTGAAGCTCTGTGCCTGCTAAACCAAGGGCTTTGCCTGGATTAGCTTATCTCTGATAAATGCAGTGTGATTAATTTCTCCCACAGTACAGCAGCACGTAAATATCAAGTGAGAGTAATATATGACCAAATTGAACTCGGCTCACACACCATCACAGCAGAACCCTCCAGGGCCCCCATGTACCAGGCACTGAAATACAATCTCTTCTTTTTTCTCTTTTTTTTCTTTTTTTTCTTTTTTTTTTGTTTTTTGTTTTACAGAAGGTGGTGGTGGGGAAGAAATAATTGTCGTGCTATTCGTTGTCCCAGGGAACAGAAAAGAAAGCAGAAGTGAAACTCACCAGACCTTTCAGGATTAAGAAAGTCTCACTGCATTCAAGTAATGTGCAGTTCTGTGTGTAAAAATCCTTGCTACAAGTAAATCAGGTGTGGCAGAAACATGCATTTGTCCTATCAAGCTTTAAAACTGTGGCTGTGGGCACCTCGAGTGCTTTGTTTTCTTGCAAGTTGTCTTTCTTAAAAATTAAATAGTCTGTTTCTCAATGAAGTGAGGGGAAATAAAGAGAGCTCAATTAAAAATCCATCTGAAATGTTTATGGGAGATCTGAAACTACATATACTTCTCGAGTTTATACTTAGGTTTCAACCTCAGACTGGTTTAATCAAAACATTTGTTACTTCTTGAGCAAACTTTGGACTAATTTTTTAAAGAAGCAGCTCAGAGGTAAAGTTCTGTGTCAAAATAGTCAGGAAGCCGTGGTCCCCAGAGCTTTCCTAGAAGCCCTGTGAAGCCCAGCAGTTTTGATTCAGCTGCAGTTTGTTTTTTTACCTTCACACAAATCCAGAACCTGAGGCAGACAGGAGATGTCTGCACGAAGTCCTTGCTCCGTCATCCGCGGCGGGGCAGAACCAATTTATGGGATTTTAGGTGCAAATCTCACCTTGCTCTGGTGAGATTGATTCACTTCAGCCCCTGCCAAGCAGCAAGTTGTCTGTGGTTTGCAGAACAACGATTTCACCAGAACATCGCTCCCAGCTTTGGGCTTGGATTAGACAGCAGGAAAAATTTCTTCATGGAGAGAGGTAGATTCTCTGGAAGTGTTCAGGAATGTGTGGATTTGTGGTTAATGCTGGATACAGGGATGGGGCTGGGCTGGCAGCTGGACTTGGTGGCCTCAAGGTTTTTTCCAGCCTTCATGGCTCTGTGATTCTGTGCCTTTCTCCTGTAGCTGCTGCTACACCCAGCAAACTTTGAACACAAATTTTCATTTCTCACCGACCACAGAGTGACTGGTATTTCTTATTTTATTTTATTTTATTTTATTTTATTTTATTTTATTTTATTTTATTTTATTTTATTTTATTTTATTTTATTTTATTTTATTTTATTTTATTTTTATTTTATTTTATTTTATTTTATTTTATTTTATTTTATTTTATTTTATTTTATTTTTTATTTTACTTTATTTTATTTTACTTTATAAAATAAATAAAAATAAATAAATTATTTTATTTTATTTTATTTTATTTTATTTTATTTTATTTTATTTTATTTTATTTTATTTTATTTTATTTTATTTTTTTATTTTACTTTATTTTATTTTACTTTATATAATAAATAAATAAAAATAAATTATTTTATTTTATTTTATTTCATTTCACTTCATTTAATTTCATTTTATTTCATTTCACTTCATTTAATTTAATTTAATTTAATTTAATTTAATTTAATTTAATTTAATTTAATTTTTTCTACTAGCAAAATCCAGGACAAATTCGTTCTCAGTTCCCAGCACCAGCCTACATTTAGTGTGTTGGGGTAGTCCTGATGGGCAGGAACACCTTCCTCTACCCCAGGCTGCTCCAAAGCCTTGTCCAACCTGGTCTTTGGGCACCTCCAGGGATGCAGGGGCAGCCAATTTGGGCAATAATTTGGGCAATTCACACTTCGTCTCTGCTGTTCTGCAGTCAGCAGGGCTCAGCATTTGAAGGGAGCAGTGAAAGGAAACTGAGAAACTCAAGCTGGGCGCAGCAGGTTTGGGTATTTTCTAAATATGTAAGTATTTAGAATTTTCTAAATTTAGTATTCTCTAAATTTAGTATTTTCTAAATACTAAATACAAGGACCTAAACTTCCTCTGATCTCTGCCACTCAGACCCAAACACGCCAGGTTTTCTGCACGGTTGGACTGCCCAGCCTGCTGAAGGAAGGCAAAACCCAAAAGGAAAGAGCTGGATGTAAAAGCAGTCCTGCAGCAGCTGTGGTAGAAAATGACTTTGGAACAGATCCTTCCACAGAAATTATTAAATCCCTTCACTGGATTGTTTCACAGTGACCTGCACTCTATAAACAAATGATGAGCTGAGTTACAGGAGCATTTATACCTTCTCTCTGCCGGGCAGAGCTGCAGTTGTCACAAACCCTTTGGTTTTCTTACACATATTTTTTTCCCAGCTCTTCTGTTGTGCGCCTCACGAAAAAAGAGCTCAAGTTGAAGGCTGTGTGGGATTTTTCTCAAGCCATTGGAGCTCCAGCCTGTAAGTAAGCATCCCAGCACACAGGCCAAATTAATTCCATCATCATCAAATGGAAACAAAGTGCCTGAGACAAAGTGACTGAGAGGTCAAGGAAATCTGCAGCCGAGAATCAAACCAGGGCCGGTTGGGAATTCAATACGATAAAGGTGAAGCAGGGGGCATTTTTGGAGCTCGGGGGTTCTCTCCAGTGACTGCACACAATCCCTCATGCCTCCTGTGGCTTTGTCTCAGGTTTATTATATTTTTTCTATTCCACTCTGTCTGTGGTTTGTTGTTGACTGGTACACAAGACGGAACAACAAAGGTTGCTCTGGCACGTGGATTTCCTTCTGCCAACTAATTCTGTGCCGCTGACGCCATCC